GGGGGTGTGAATAACTGAAATCCCCCACTTGGCTATTATTCCTTGATTAAGTGTTAACAATCAGCCATCTAAACAGAGTGCCCCTCATTCTATACCATAGACATATGTGCAAAAGAAGGGAGCAGACAGTTCACCATTTGTTTTTATTGTGCTCAACGTACAAGTGTACAACAATTGCTCCTTTCAGCTTTTTGTTTAAATATCATAAACCATGGAACAGATGTGCAATTATTTGGTCTGTGATTCTATCAGATATTAGCAGGTGTGTTCGGAAGGAAAGTAAGAGACATATCTTCCATGTAAAAAGAAAAACCTTCCAAGGCTTTGTATGAGTATTATCAGTCTTATTATGGATACTGGATTAATTCTTAAAATTATAAGATCTTTAAAGGGATTTTGTTTTCCATTGGCAAAATGTTTTGGGTGTAAAAGGTGGAAGCTATAAAGCATATCAGGCTTTTGTAGTTCTCTAATGTACATTTTCATTTTATTATATTCACAAACAAGTTTTTTCTTATTTATCAAAGATAAAACAAAAAAAAAATGTACCACATTTTTTCCATGCAAATGGAATTCACAAGATTTCTACTTTGAGAGATTATTCTCATAAGGCCTGAGCATCAATAGATAGAGAAATACCCCATAGAAGGCATTGGGCCCTTCACAGAAATTCTCGTGCCCATAATCAAGCATGAAGTCATCAACACAAACATATGCATCCTCCATGCTCTGACGAAAACCAATGTCTGCCCAACCCCCTGAGCGAACAATTGGAATGAAATTTGTTTCACGAGCCCCTTCAGTCATGTCAGGCTCAATAGGAACATCTGACATTCTCACCTTCACCTGCTAAAGTTGTAATAACTAATTCAATAAAGAAAATCTTGCAAACAGAGAAAACAAAGAAAAGAAAGTAACAGTTCAGCAGCTACACTCTTGAATGCAGAATAATAGTAAAAAAATTACCAACAAAGTCTGGTTTTCAGACGTGCAAACAGGAACCAAAATATTGTTTATTAATATCCTCCCAATCTTACACTTGATTAAGTTAAGTAAAATAGAAAAGAAAAGCTTAGTTCATGGAACTAAGCTGCATTCAGGGAATTCATGAAAAAATAAATTACTGCCACCAAAAAGGTTGAGAACAATGGTGCAGAGAAAAATAACACTGGAACTGATACTAAAATATTTGCCCTAAATAATTGTTTTGAACATAATTGGGTTGTTGATCTTAAGAGCAACATTTTTTTCGGTAAATGATCTTAAGAGAAATTATAATCTGCAAATGGCACTAATATGAAGCAAGTGACACATAATACCCTATTCCAACATCTGAGCCACAGTCATTACACAAAACAAGTAATGAAGCTGCTCTCAAGGCTGATTAAAACAAAACATAAATTTTTCCTTTCCCTGGGAGGGGATGTAAAATTGTCATGAAAAGGTGGGTAAGAGTAACATTAGGTAGTCTACCAGTCCAGGTCAATTACAAAGTAAATCTACCAGAAACAGAAGCATAATAGTCATACTGTGAGTCTGTAGGCTGATTAAAACAAAATATTTCATTTGCCAAGAAATGATGGAGATGGCTAAGAGTAATATTGGGCAGTGTACCAGTGGGGCTGATACCTTCAAAGGCTCTCAAATCTAGCAAACTGTTTCTGGGTTTCTATTCTGGCTGCTGTGATAAGTATAGTATGAGCTGAAAGAAATAGAAGACTGTTGCACCAGACTTCAAAGGATGTGGAGGAGCTAATTTCCTTTTCTTTCGGAAAGCTGGTTTCTTGGGTCTCAGCTGCCAAGGGACTTCAGCAGCAAATCCTGGCATTATTGCTGAGATTTAGAAGCCTGTGGAAGTTGTAATCTTGCTGTATTGTAATTTCTTTTGCCCGGCCAGGGACTTGTTCCTTGAGGGCTTGTTGTACTCTTGATTATCTCTTAAATAAAACTTACCTTACCTTTCTTCAAAAAAGGTAATAATGGATTAAGTACCAGTCCATGTCAAGTACAGAGTAAACTACCAGAAACGGAAACATAATTGGCATACTGTGAATTTGTGAAGCATAAAATAGAAGCTGATAAAAAAGCAAATACCTGGCCATACCATCATTCTACCAATATTTCGCTGGGGATAGTCATCAAAAAACAAAAGCTAGAAAGCAGAGATTGTGAGATGAGATGACAATGACCCCTCCCTGTCTCAGGCAACACTTTAACAATTGCCTAAAAACCAGGTTATGACTTATGACCCACTTTTCCTGGACTGACTGTTAGATGTTCATGTACTGAGGGCCTAAAGCCCTGTTTTTAAGAAATTCTGGTAGATCGATTTTCCTAACTTTCTGAAGCACGTATCTAAAGCATGTAATAGATTGATCCATAATTTTTATCTTTATAAATTACAAGATCAAAGCATTCTTTGATATGCACGGATCAAAATATCAATATGCCTGATACACAAAGTTGGGTATCAATTTGATACGAGTGGTCATATTTTTTTTACTATTTTTATTTTTATAAGTATTAGAGGCATGGGATCTATCATCCCAAAACTTTTAAAACATGTGTATTGGTGTATCCATGCATATCTAGGATTCTGGATGCACCAATACACCCGATATGGGGCATATCATGTTGATATTTTGATCCTTGTTGGTATGTAATAAAATCACAAAAAGTGTAATGTAAAAGACCTACTGTGAGGATACTGCCTAACTCAGAAACAAGTCAAGGTGTCTGACCTGAACAGAGAGGGGTAGGGAAAAAGGGAAAGAGAAGAGGGAGAAGGAAGAGAGGTAACTTGAGATACAATTGCTCGCCCAATTTGGACATATAACTGCCTTGTATAGGCTTACATTAGGTCACTCTAGCAACAGCCACTTCTAACTAACTTCTGGTGTGTTGTGCAGCCTTCTGAGATGACATAGCTTCCTCAGGTGTATCTTGGCATAACAAGGAGCATTCACTAAGATGGCTAGGCCTTGTGACTGCTCATGGACTGCCGCTGTGGGCTTAACACCCACCTTCATAAACCATGGGGTAAGTACAAACAGCAAATGGCTGAAAATCAGATAGTACAGGCAAGAGGCAATTACAAGATTATCAAGGCATTTCCCAGATCAGAACAATCCTTTCCTACTCTAGGTAGACTATCATCATAGGCATTTGTTGATTTGATCCCAGTGCGCATTCATCGTAACAGCCAGGGATATCACCTCCCTTACAAAGTGAAGTGGGGTCCATTCCATCATAAGGCTCCACCTCCAAGAACTGAGGTACCAAGCACTAGGACTTTTTTTCTGGGTATCAATTAACTTTCTCAATGATCAAATAGTTGAAACAGAGAAACACAAATGTGTAATCCTCCAAACAAGAACTTTATTGTTGCTACATGTAGAGCTAATATTTTGAGCCAAGTGCATATGCACTGCAACTACAGTATCATCAGAAAGCCTATCCAGATATCTTTACGGGATCCAGAGTTTCACATAATTGGCAGATCCAATTCCATCTCCAATTTCAAATCCACCCTAATCCAAATGCAACCTAAGAGCAGGAGATCCACCAAACTAATAGTCTTTTCTTCTGCCTATTAACATTTTGGTAAGGAGCTTATCCCTTCAAAAACATGCAAATCCAATTAATGTAAAATCGATATGATCTAAGGATAGAATTGATGTATTTTGAGGAAAATTAGCTAAGCAAGTTATTCTTTCGGGGGTTTAGGTCAATCTTGGACCATTAGGGCAAGCTTATGAAAGATAGACGAAAGCTCATGATAGGTATTATGATTATGTGGCTTAGGTCTCTGCAGCTAAAAATTTCAACTAAGGCTAAAATTTGTATAGAAAGAGAACTAGAAACTTCAATATATTGAGATTGGAAGGGAATTTCTTCAGAACAGTTTTAAAATGTCAATTAGGATGATAGACTAAGGGGGCAGCTTGATAATAAAAGTGTGCTCTCATCAAGTTTGGTGGAACAACTCTTAGAGAGATTCATCTCTCTGGTTTTGTGGAAACTGGCTACAGAACTTGCCCAGATTAACTCAGCAGTCCTCTTTTAGTGAATCAATGGTTCTCTTCAGATCTCATTGGCTTCTCTATTCCCGGAAGCCTGGAACAGAAATGGAAGCAAGGAAAGAATCAAAGAAATAAATCAGTTCTCTAATTCCTATCCCAAGCTCAGAATTTTTGGGTGATGATATTTTCATATTGAAACTTAGTTTTTGAAATTTGAACTTACCTTTCTAGCTTGCTAATGTCTAAGAAAAAGGTTAAGACTTACAAAAAAAGGAAAAGGGTTAGTCTTCTAGAAATCTACTGTTCTTAGTAAACACTAGAAGTGTTATTTATGTAGCTTTCAAACTTACCATCTATAGGAATTCCTATAGTTACTATTTGTTGTAAAATGATTTACTATTTTTAGTAATTTTTGGTTTCTTTATATTAAGTTAGTCTCACTATTTATAGGAATTCCTATAGTTACTATTTATTGTAAAATTATTTACTATTTTTAGTAACTTTTGGTTTCTTTATATTAAGTTAGTCTTAGTAAGATTAGTAAAGTGTATTAGAGTTGTTTATGAGTAAGAATCCTTATTCGAGTATCCCCATGGGTCACCTATGGATTTGTCTTAGTTCTAGAGTAATTAGAAGTTGTTCTGGATCAGTCTCTTAGTCCAAACTAAGGCATAAAAGAGATCCATGTACCGTGTTGAATGTATAAAAAAAGTTGCTGTGATTGAAAAAGGAAGCGTTGATATAAATAAAAGTTTGGCTTAATGAACTCTGGTTGTTGCCAGGTATGTTTCTCTTTTTCCCCTCTCGCTTACTTGTTCTTTTAAACAATTTATCTCTTGGTCGTTTACCCTGGCAGCAAGAGTTTTCTCTTTCTTCCTAATCTCCTGCTCATTCATTGGCAGACAGCAAGCTTTCTACTTACTTCACCTATATTCTTTGTCCTTAATCACCTTCTTTCACCCTAAAAAGCCTATGATGTGATGTAAAAGTTATAGGAACCCCCACCTTCCCTACATAAGTTTGGAATAAGAACATGGGAAAACATGTTAAATCCCATAACATGTTACCAAAAGTCATAACACCATTTACAAAGTACAAACAATAAAAGCCCATTTGGGAGGGCTTCAGCTTTGATTAAGCTGCTTTCACTAAGCCACTTTGAAGAAGCTACTAAAACTAGTTCAACAGAAAGTTGATGTTTTGACTGAACGAGAGCATATTGGGGCTCTCCGGTTTTTTTTCAAAAAGGTAATTGTTATTAATAAAAGTATATGTAAAAGGCCCTTTGTATAAAGAGACTAAGAGAGTCAGTACAAGTATGTCAAACATAGCTTCTAGGCTTTCCATGTGGTGCCCACCTTGCAAAGCCAGAAGCCACTGCCTGAAAGCCCTCCTAGGCGGGCACTAATGTGTCCCTGTAAAGCCATAATATCACTTTTTTTAGTTTTTTTATTTGATGTATATATTGATCAAATGTGTTTTTTTTGGCAGTGGTTGAACTGTTTGACCCATGAACTGATGGCCTTTCTGGTTTTCCTAACGGTCCAAGTATGACAACGCTGCTCGCAATACTGACCTGCAGATCTAGTGTTTAAGGGCAATGTGAGATCAGATCAGAAACAGAGCTGTATGAATAAGAAAACAAATTGAAAAAAGGAGAGAATACCCTAAGAATCAGCACCTAAAGAGTCTATTAGGAGCCAAACCTAATAGTTTGAAGGAATTAGCCCCTTCAAAAATGTGTGGAATGTGGACCAAACCAAAGAAGCAAGCCTGCTTTAAAAGGTATATCTATGTATAGACTCAGAGTAGACATGCTAATTATAT